GCTACATGGGTTGCATGCACACACGCGAAGCCAGACATTGCGATTTTTGCATTGGTATCGTTGTACGGACTGCTCCTCTTTAGTTCATTTACCCCCCACCCCCGCCCCAGTTACCCATCCCAAATTTATTTCGTAACGGTTTACATTTCGAACCTCGACAACGACAAAGAAAAGTTCAGGTCCCATTTGAGAAATTATCCAGTTAGATAAATACTTGATCTTTAACTTATCAAGCAAACCTCAACTGCAAGACAGATCTCGGATTATCATGAGTAAACTCCAATCTAATCCCAATTACTTTAAAAATCCCCCTTTTGGAAATTTCATAAGAGCAAACGTTATCCAAGGGCAATTTGAAATCAATTATTTCAGGTCATCCTTTCAGTTGTGAACAAACATAACGACCCGATAGCACCTTGACGTGGTGTGATGGCTTGAGCATCTCTCTGACGAGCTGCACAGGATTGCTGTTGTCAAGCCAGAAGATCTAATCATGCCTAGAAGGTCGAAGGGTAGAGGTCAGACGAAGTCTAGTCTCCTGGTTAGGGTTCGACAAGGATTTACGTTTCAGTGGGCAAAATTGGTGGAGTAATTGATCCAAGTAAATGGGCCTCCACTTCGCTTCACCCGCTGCCTTGCGGTTAGGTTCTTGTCAGAACTAAAGGCTTTGGTCGAGAACCCTAATCGTTCTCCTGCTTAGTGGCTGGACACCCTAGCAGTACCCGTCCATCAAACCCCAATGCATATGCGTCGCGAGTTTGGCAGCGATCAGGGAAGTTCGCTTCTCTGTATTTGTTGTGTAGTTGTGATGGAAGGTGGTACAAAGACAGAGAGATGCGTAGACGTAGCGGCTGGAAGTACTTCGATAGACAATGTCGACTACTACTCGAAACGAACGAATAGACAATTACAACCCGACGAACAATTCGCACCTAGCCAGGAAGATATCCACCGAATGCCACAACGTCGGAGCTGTCAATCAACGTATCCTGCGCTACGATCGGGTCAAACCAGCCGGAACGGCACGCGGAAGAAGAGGCAACGAACGTACGTGCCAAGTGCGGACCAAAACCAACAGGGATTGACCAACAGAATGAGGCATGAATCATCCTGCCGCGCGGTCACGAATTGATTGTTTATAATTGAACGCGTACAGCGGTTGTTTTTGAATTGGATCAATAAACATTTCCTTATCCAGCTCGCTTTCTCGTTGCAGTATAATGATGATGATGAAACATTCCAATGAAAGTTTCATCAGAACAATAATAAGCCTCAAGACATCAAAAACGCGCGACGGTGTAAAATCAATAACTGGTCACCTTTGCAATTATTACCGAGTCTTTGTACGGCCGTAACCCCCTTCCTGAAAGTTGGTCACACATTTATATGCTTAATAAACAAAAAAGATGAAAAAAGTATGTATTTATTAAGAGTATCAATCTTGGATTATTTACTTACTTATTATTAAACACAACTATCGTAGTAAAACAATTGTCTGATGAACCCTATCAGTTAATCGATGAGTATGTCGCTGACGAAAGCAATTGAGGGCTGAGGCAAAAAATAAACGCACTTTTGGGGGCTGATCCAATCGACCCCAGTAGGTATGCGAATCGTGTGTACGCATTGCACCTAGCGAGGTACATCTGCACGACCAAATCGTCTGTGCTAGGGTCATCCCACGCAATGCCTTCACTTGGTGTTCCGCACCAAAGTGAGAGGAGGAAAAGCGAACAAGATACGGATATCACTTAGGGGAGTTGGCGAAAAACCCTGATTCCAAATAAACCAAAAAGAGACGTGAGAATCACAACCACACCTTCCTGGTAGTGGCGGTGGTTACCGGCTTAAGTGGGCATTGAAGTGCATTGGACCCCATCCAAAGGAGTTATGATACGATGAACTGGACACCGTTCCTCAATGAATAGGGCGTTTCACACACCACTCACTTGCCTTGTGGTTAGGCTTTCACTACTCAAGGGTTATAATTGGGAATCCCCAAAGAAAATTCGCTTTCTTTGATCGGGGCCAACTGAAATTACTCTACGAAGAGCAAATTAGGAACATATTTCTTTACTATAAAGATTTGTGTACCGTGATTTATTTGACAGCCAGGAATCAGACAAATAAGAAAGATGATCGTATATATCTAGATGTGGTTATTTATCTAAAATAAAAACATATAGCACAATTCAGCACCGATGAAAATGTTGAACTTATTAGAGTATCGTGGACAGAGTCTGTTAGTCAATTGAGTTGTATCGATAGGAAAAGGAAGTGTTTCCAGGTCACTGTAATTCAGTTATTTTTTTGTCTTCTAAGATGAATGCTTACGAATAGGTGCGTGCCACCGACCACTATCACCAAAGACAGCGATAAATCGAAGGGAAGCTCATCACGTGACTGAACAAGAAATATGGTACACTAACTTATCTCCTGAAGACTATCGGACACTCATCATTGATTACAGAACAAGCCATCAAAAGCTGTATCGACAACATCCACAAGGTTAAAATCCACGCCTTTATTAGCGCGTACCGCTGCACGCGGTAATAACGTTTCGCTTGTTGATAAGCGGAGAGTTGCTCTCACAGATCGTTTCACTCATACCAGGTTAGATGGAACAGTCTAGAGGAATTACCCATGTCGGCATCATGTGCCACCTCTGAAGCACCTTAAAATTGCCATAATTTCACGATCATTACTTAGGCCTACGTTTACTGCTACGCTTCGATACAAATCGCGCTTTGTTATGCCCGCAATCAGCCGGGATTGATCCCTATGAGTCAAGAAGGCAAAAAGATTTGGCGGAAATCCAGGACATTACAACAGAACGTGTCAGGCCAGAACTCACTGCACCTGCAGAATACACGTCATTTTTTATAATTGACTGGTGCTTCTGGATGTTAAGTTATGAGCCCATAAACAAGGACGCTTCGTAAGGTGGCTAGGTAAGCTGGTCGGAGCATCTTATAGCAGTCGCTGTGTTATGCATTTGGAACATCCACCGAAGCACATGGAGGACTTAGCGGTAACTCATGTGTGATCGGATTCGGGGAGAATGTTCAAGCCTTAATGGTATTCTTGTATGTAACCGCGCAATCGGTAGCTTACAGCGATGGATCGACCGTGGACAGGAGGACTAACACCAGATGGATTACCAGCAATTTGGCGGATATCGGCTTCCGACAAATCATGATAGCCTACAAATGACGAAAATAATCTCTTTTATAGTCAGCTGCACATTATTCATCTGACCTGTGCAAGGTTAGATAGAGTACACAGCATCGAATTTAGTTACGACGCTGATCAACACTGTCTACTTCAATTGTGGTCAGTTCCGAATTATTTGCTTCCATTTTCTCCAACAGAAAACCAACGTGAGAATTCTTTGATGGTTGATTGCTACGTGTTAATTCGTTGACTTGTGAGATACGGCAATTCAAGTGCTGATAGGACGTACTTTTGGCCAAAAATCCAAGTGGGCATTTTATTAATTCGTGCAGTCATTTCAGAGATTTTAGCTAGTGTTTACCAAAAGTGAAGAATTCCACGTGGTTTCATATGGCAAACTAGTAGTGTTATAATTCCAGTAGGAGACGCCTGGTCGAGGAAAGTTCTTTACTGCAGACTACCGTTGGGATATCACTTATTTGGCATACATATAAGAAGATATCTCATTTGAACATCTCAGAACAATTCCCTGCAGCACATTGGATAACGGATGGAACAGTCCGCAGTTATTATTTTGAACAGAGCAATTTTCTTTAGGTGGTCTTGTTCATTTTTGATCGTTGAACGAAGCTGCATTATTTTGCATACTACTCACAAATGTGAGTAGCACCACATAGCAGCAGTAGTACTGAAGACGCATTACACACAGATTTCATCATCATGTGTCTGTGCGGTTCGGCGTTTCAGTGCTACGTACCCCCGAAACTACACCTAATTGTGTAACAGAAACATTAGCGGTTTTGCAACTCAGAGGATGGCGTGCACGTGGTTCTAAACTGTGCGTTCTAGAAGTGTGATTTGAACCACTCTGTTTCGGAGTGAGATACCCACCACTAGTGCACACGTTCTACCCTGCTTCGGTTCAGTTCAGTTTGTACAACCATTAACCACGCATATTCGTGCGCCGGAAGCATCAAGCATTACTTCTTGCGCTCGGATGAACAAACAAGGCAGCAGTTGCGCATCCTATCTATCCTCGAGACACGGGATCTACAAGACTTGAAATTGTGCACGTGGCATCATAGCCTGAAAACAGAATTCCGACACGATGTTTGAGCTGATAGATGAAATTCGTCGTGGATCTGTTAGTCGGGGACACGGAACAGCACGCTCTAGTGTGCGCCAGCAAAGACGGGAATTACAAATCGAACAAAATGCGATTTTTCTTCACGCGTTTTTTTTTCTTAACCTAAGTTAATGCAAATAAAGAACGGAATTGAAATGCCTAATGAATCAAGTTCCTGAACCGCACTTTCACAAGCTGCTATACAATAGTCGCTTGAGCAGTACAGAGTAAGACAAAACACTGCTGTTCCGAGGCGGTCAGTTTTTATCGGGGGATTTCCCCCGATGGCCTACTAGAATGAATTCAGGAATATATGCATCAGTTCATCCGGATCTACGAATCGACTAACAATCGACTGTATCTACCACCTAGTCAAGTTAACAAAGAGTACGAGAGCAACAGGAACAAGAGACAACGAAACACTGACGAAGAACGTAACGCACGCTGACACAGAGCACATGTATTTCTATGAATCTTCAGATGCCGCGGAGAGTGGCAAATATACCATATACGTCGTTTTCAGAAGAACGGGTACAATAGAAGTAAAACAGATCAATAGGAAAAATGATGAGCAACAGAAAAAAACGAAAAGAAAAATAACTGTACATTTGACACAGTCACTGTGAAATTTGCTGTTGGTGGGAATCTGGCAAACACCTGTATTAAACGAAATCGTAGGACTAGAGAATTGATTGAAAATCTAACAATAGAAGGCTCCCATCGGATGGATGCTTAGATAGTGCTGTCCGCCACTGAACGACTTGCCCCAGAAACCAAAGGGAACGACCAATGCACTGGCATTATCATCCGATCCGTACTGTAAAGCGGATTCCACGAGGAATTTCGCGGCATCCTGAGGCGTACGACACTCCGTGATTGTGGTGGCAATCTCCTCATCTGACATCACATGTGTCACCCCATCGCTGACCAAGACCAAAAACGACGCATTACTATGTTTCACCTAGAAAAGTAAATTAGGAGGAAATCACGAACCTTCACGATTATACTGATTATCGATATCATTAAGGATAAAGATAGCAAAGTTTTTCATCCCGAGTCCCATTGGATTAATTTAACCTCTGCTTTTCTGGGCAGATGTTCAACCAAGTCGGTTGAAATGAAATGGATAATGGTAAAGTAAACTAATCAGGGCATAAACTTTGTGGGAAAAACTCGAATAGAAATAGTTTATAGTGAACTACAAGAAATCAAATCTTCACCACATAAGGATGTAACAGCTGTATGTATGTATGTATGTATGTATGTATGTATGTATGTATGTATGTATGTATGTATGTATGAATGTATGTGAAAATCAGTTCAAGATTAAGCAAGTGTGAAATATTCGATCTCGAAAAGTAGACGAAAGTAAATTGTATCACATCCCAAATCAATTAGGAACGCGGTGCATACCTTCAGTGATTTTCCTTATGGCAGGGCATGATCACAGATTCACAAAACGTCATTTCGCTATTAGGGTTAGTAGCGGTCAGTAATGATAATTTTACGATCTTCTACTGATAATGACAATAACAATAATGAAATTATTGTGATTTTGTTAACCTTTTTTTAGTTAATCGCGTTTGAAAAAAACCTAAGTGAGAAACAGATCAACGAGACTACCACAGCATGGGATCGGCAACGTTAGGGAGAAAAACACAAGTATTTTAGCCAATCGCACACGAGTGTTTATTCCCCCGCTCTCGTGAACAACTCACTCATTCTCCAACTGAGTCCCCCAAAGAGTGCTAGGGTAACTGCAGCGTACAGTGAGAACAAAACCTGGTACCACGTGAACTAAGGATAGATGGATGATTGATAAACTGTCGGGATGTGGACACTTCCGTTGGCCCTATTTGTAAATATTTTGAAAATTCTTTGTTCCCGTTCTCGAACTACCCGGGTTTTTGGAACGTGTATGGTCTCCTTTCTCACCAGATCCGATGCACATCTGGATCTAGGCTTGATCGATGTTCCTCGACTGCTTCGAGTACAGTATCATGCTCTATTCCGAACATCGGATTTCGAAACTTTTTACCGCTAGTAAAACTAAACATGGTCATTTTACACGGGGTTAGGACCAACAATTTCGAAGTAGACAGCGCGCTCTCTAGCGCACACAGCACGGAACTGCGACCTTCCTGGTTTTTCCCATCCTGACTCTTGTTACTTGTATTCACCTTAAAAGGTACTCGAAATCTGGGCATCATACCAGTCACAACTTCGACAAGGTGCTGCACTCTTTGAAAAATGGAAGAGCCTAAAGAATGCGAAGGCTTATTGCAGTGCTTACTCCACTCCAAATCCAGTGAAGAACAGTGTCGTAGATTGAACGGCATGTATACTCCTGCCCGGTCTGACAACAAAGTTAGTCGTCACACCTGACAGGCCCCCAGGCAGATTTCCGGCACTAAATCCTCTCGCCACTCAACGACTGTGCTTATAGAAGAACTAAAACTATAACTTCATCAGCTTACAAGGTGTTTTGTTGTAACTTGATTTTTGCCTCATTGACTGCATGGGTCCCGTTATTTTCCTTTCTCCATTCCAGAAGCAGCTCAGACTTATGTCTAGATTCTTCAAGCTTCCTTCG